TTAAAATCTATCTTTTGTAGTTAATAAACTTGTTTTTGCTTTATTTAAACCAGTGTGCTTTTGAGCGAAGTGTCTGGGGACAAATCTCAGATTGGTTAACACAAGCATATTGTGCATATCTTTCTCACATTGAGGGGAGGGCGAACTTTATGAACTTACTTTGTACAGCTCTCTGTACAGTGTAAGATGGTACAATTTTGGCTTTATACTCCAGTGGGGGGGGAGGTGCATGCCTGGGAGATGGAAGTTATCTTGCTGTAACCTCTCTATTGTTGGTTCATGCAGTGGCTGGTCAGAGAGCCTGCATGTAATTGAAGTTGGGTGTGTTTCTGCCTATGTGAATGCTGGTGGGAGTGTAGGATCAGGAGTGGTCTACAGCTTGTCACAGCATCACAGTAAGAGAGGGAGCCCAGGCTGGTGAGTCAGAGGGCTCAGTGGTACCCCAGTTCCAGGTGGCACCCCAGGGGGAACCCATCACAGGTACTCCATCCATTTCACCTCCCTCCCCCAACCAAACACCTTTCTCTGTCCCTGTCCAGGAACTCGTCTCATGAGAGCCTATTATGACAAGAGATAGACCATCTCCTCAATGTAGGAGCCATAGAACCAGTGCCCCTAAATCTAGGAGGCACAAGCTTTTACTCTCACTATTCCTGATACCCAAGAAAAAGAGAGGTTGGAGACCCATAATAGATCTCAGAGCGCTCAACAAATTTGTCAAGGCTCAGGGGTTCAAGATGGTCACTTTGGTGATGATCATTCCAGTGTTAGAAAAAGGAGACTGGTTCACGGCCCTCGACCTCCAAGATGCTTACTTCCACATTTCAATCATACCAGGTCACAGAAGATACCTCAGATTCACACTCGGCCAGGACCACTACCAGTACAGGACACTCATTGGTACAGAGACCTTTTGGACTCTCATTGGCCCCCAGAGTATTCTCCAAGGTCCTCTCTGTGGTGGAGACCCACCTACTTTCCCAAGGCATTATGATCTACCCTTATCTGCACGATTCATTCCTCAAGGTGTGTTATCCATCAAAATCAGAAAGTCAAGAGCTAATATTTCTAATGTATAAAAAGAAATGGGGGGAAAAACCCTAAAAAAAAATAAAATCCAAAAAAACCTTTCAGATTTTATATATTCTAAAACATCAGAAAAAAGGCATAACCCAATTTTTTCCATGTAGGTCTCCTTTAAACAATGTGAAATTAATCCCTTTTGCATAAATTACAAAATAATATCTATAACTTCAGCTTCATGACTAAATTTTTATTTATATTAATTAAATTGAGATATCACCAGATTGGTATTGGAGAGAGACAAATTTGAATGTAGAAAAAGAGGCAGTTGACAGGTAGAATGGGGCGGGATAGAAAGGCAGAATGGGTAAATGTTTTTTATTTTTAAATTTAAACCAAATAAATTGCTCCGTTAGTAAACATTCTAAAGGAAATAAAGAATAGTTCTAAATGCTAAACACTAAATTTTAGTACATATAAAACTCAAATGTCTATAGCTATTATCTTCATAAGTGTTATTTTTTATAAATATTGAGATCTGATCACTAGAAGTACACCTTATCCACTTTTTATATAAAAGGTATTAAACAGGAGACAGGACAATGCAATTCTGAAATGTTCACATTGTATGTTACAGGTTGCACTATATGCTTTGTATTGGAAATCTTAGCGCTTGTGCAAAGGACAGCAAAGTACTGTATAAAAGTTAATACTTTGCTCTTTCCCATGCTTCCAAGGTGTGATTGTCTGAGTTGCTGCCCATCATGAATCATATTTGATATAGATAAATGACAAGGAATGTGACTGTGTGTGTGCAATAAGCTATTCTGAAAAATCACCAGTTCAGCTAGGAAAACCAAGAGACATCCTGGGATGAAAGAGCATCTCAATGGTAAATGTATTCAATGACAATGACCTCATACAAAAAGGGATGTTGAATTTAGACCCCAAAAGGGAAGCTGCTGTTGTTTTGGGAAGACACTAGACTGCCCTTACAGGTTCTGTACTTATGAAGTGTAAAAGTTGCATGATCCTGCTGACTAGGAAGGGAGGGAGGTGAACACCTTCCCCCAGACAGAAACGTAAGAGGAACCAGGACTCCATTCCCCCTTCCCCACATTCATATATGCAAAAAGACCTGTCTGGCTGTGTTAGGGGGCCTCTGGGCACAAACTCTCCACACCCAGCAAATGCTACAGTGCTGCTGATGGGGGATCTGTGAAGCAGCCAGAGCTGCTACCAAACTCTCTGCCTGGACTCTGATCTTCCCCAATGATTCTTGCTACATTTTGAGACATTGGCTTCTCTGGCCTTTTGGAGCCCCCCAGGAGAGGTAGGAGGCATAGCCTTTTTCTCCCCATCCACACCCCATTCAATCTACCCCATGTAAAGGCAGAGGGTGTGGAAGGGTGAAGGAGGTTAAAGGAGACTAGTAGCAAGTGGCTCCCTTCCTGTAGTGCTTCAAACGTACAGCCCTATTACAAGGAGCAGAGAACTTCAGGGAAGAGTCCTGCCCCTTTCAAAGGTGACCCTTTGAGGGAACTTAAAGGGCAGGTAGCTCATTTAGAGGAGTAAAATCGCTCAGGTCATATACTGGATAAGTAGAGTAGCCAAGTAAAAGTGTCAGCTCTCATTCCTTGATGAGGGTGAGGCGGGAGCATTCCCTGGGGTTGGGGGGGTCTCCCTTGGCTTGTATGGGGGGAATCTCCCCAGGACATGGGATGAGAGCTCCCTCGATATGTGGGGGGCAGGTAACCTCTCTAGCTGTATATCTTGCTTTAGTAGTGGGTGTTTGCAGGAGTGGGGAGGGTGTTCCCTATAGGGATGTCTCCCTCAATAGCTGGGTGTATAAGGGGTTCACTGGGGGAAGTGTGGGATGTGTATGGAGGGAAGGACTCCTTGGAGGAAGTGGGGTAACTGGGGGGAGTGCATAGGAGGAAGGGCTCCCCGGGGTGGGGTGGTCGCTGGGGGGTAAGATGTGGACACGTATGAGAGAGGTCACAAGGGGATATGTGGGCGGCAGAGCGCCGGGAGGGGGTTACGCCGCTCTCGGCGTTGCGGCTCCGGGGCCGCCCCAAGCCCCGCCCCGGCCGGGCCGGAGGAAGGAGGCGGTGGCTGGGGGCGGGCGCGTCCGACGTGGCTGACGCTGACCCCGAGCCCCCCGCAGCGGGTAAGGAGGGAAAGGGGATGGAGGCGGCCCTTCCCCACCTCAACGGGGGCTGGACCCTAACTTGGGCCCGGCCCGGGCTCTCCCACCCGGGCGGGCTCTCGTGCGCGCCTAGTCCCGGGTGACCCGCGTGCCCGCGCTTGTTGCGAGCTGCACCCACCCCCACCCTGTATGTCCCGGGCGGCGGCGGGGACCGGCCCATCTCCGCGCTGCCCCACGCCGAGCGCGCTGGCAGGGCCCGAGCGCCTGCGGCCCCAGAGAGCTGTGATGGGCACCTCTGCGCTGCGGGCCCTGCCTAGGCGGAGGGCTGGTCAATGTCAGTTCAAAGTAACTTACTGGCCAGGCTCCGTTCCCGGCCATGTGAACGCCAGGCTGCTCTGGGAGGCACAGCACCTTCCTGGACATCTGCATGCACATGAGCTGGGACATAGATTCATAGATTCTAGGACTGGAAGGGACCTCAAGAGGTCATGGAGTCCAGTCCCCTGCCCGCATGGCAGGACCAAAAACTGTCTAGACCATCCCTGATAGACACTG